ATAAATACACAATGGAATATTAGTCAGCAATAAAAGAGAATAAAATCATGGCATTTGCAGGTAAATGGATGGAGTTAGAAAAGATAATACTAAGTGAAGTTAGCCAATCCCAAAAAAACAAATGCCAAATGTTTTCTTTGATGTAAGAAGGCTGATTCATAGTGGGATAGGGAGCGGGAGCATGGGAGGAATAGAGGAACTCTAGATAGGGCAGAGGGGTGGGAGGGAAAAGGAAGGGATATGGGGTAATTAATGCTGGTAGAATGTGATGGACATTATTATCCAAAGTAAATGTATGAAAACATGAATTGGTATGAATATAAAACCAGAGATATGAAAAATTGTGCTCTATGTATGTAATAAGATTTGTATTGCATCTGTCAGAGATAAATAAAAAATTTACATGATAAAATTAAAAAAGAAATGGCAAACATATTTGCCATAAGTCACATACTGTAGAATTTCAAAAAGAAAAAGAATGTTCAGATAGATGCTAATATTAATATTGCCATATTTTATAACTGCTATTTTTCATATTATGTGAACAAAACCATAAGTACCTTGAGAATAAAATATTTCATAAATTTATTTTATTTGTTCCCAACACCTGGCAAAGTGTTAGCCAAAGCATGATATAAGTGGTCAAAAATACTTTCTGAATTAAATTATTTTACCAATGCTTTTTCTGGTTTATCTGATGAGTAATAAATTCACTTTATGAAATTTTAAAAGTTCAAATAACCAGAGGTGAGAACATCTTGCTTCTGTCAGTTAATTTACTGAGTGAAAATAGTAGTACTATATGAGAAATAAACTAGCTTGGTAAAATTTGTGAATGTGAAGAAAACATGAACCATGGAATAAATTACATATTTGGTTTATAAGAAGACTGTGAATGAGGTTCTTGTACTTGGTAAGCAGTAAAAAAGCAGCATATTGTTTAGAGAAGGAATGTATTTTGAGTAGCATACACATTTGAAAATGAAATAAGAATAATTGAATAACCTTTTTTGTAAGGAAATATAATACATATACATCAGTTAAGTAAAGGAAAAAGATTATGCACATATATGCACACACTACTATAAGTGTGAATTCTATAACAGATATGAGTTATACTAATAGCAAGACATTTTCAAATTCCGAACTTTGTATTTCTTCCTTCTTTTCTATTTTCCTCCTACTGCTATCTCTCATGCTGTTCCTCTATTTAGTCATTTGCTTAATTTTCTTCTCTCGACTCTTTCTAACTACACACACACACACAGACAAACAAATGTGCATGCATACCCATAACCCCATATCCCAACTGTCTCCTTTACCTTGTATACAAAGCATGAAGAAACCAACTACCTACAGGAACCTTAACAGTAAGATCACTAATTGACTAGACTAGTGGGTGGCTTTCAAACTTCTGAACATGTATCCCTAAAACAAAACTGAAAAAAAATATATAGACTTTGTGCCAGTTATCAATTTGTTACCGTTCACCTAAAAATCTATCGTCCTTTTGCTCTGCTAAAATGGAGCTGGGCCCTTGAAAATATCTTTTCTTTGTCAATTAGCATGATGCTAAGCTTTGCCCATAGAGGACACAGAAGAGAGGCTGCTGAAGGAAAACATTTTTCCTTCCAGATTTGAGTATGCTTGCTCAACAGGCTCCTTCAGTGCATGCAGCTTCTTGAACATCTGAATCCTGAAGCACACAGAGCTTCTCCACTTCTAGGCAGCTCTTGCACTGTGGCTGGGTTCTCCAATGATAGGCTCCTATAGTGTCTCCTACATCCAACTCCTTCAAGGTACCCAGTTTCTCCAACACCTGATTCCTGCACAGCAAACAGCTTCTCCATCATCTGGCCTTTTTAGCATACATGGCTTCCCAAGAGCCCAGCTGCTGCAGCACAAGCAGCGTCTACAGTGCCAGGATCCTGCCATGCCAGATGCTCTTTTCAATTCACAGCAATCAGCAGCACCTAGCTCCCCCTAGCTCTCCTCTCAGCTGAGGTTTTGTAAGGAACTGCCTCCACTGAGACATCTTGCTGCCAACAGCTTTCCCAGGAACCCTAGAGAACAGATAACCAGCAAATTCCAGAAGGTGGATTTCCAGAAAGTTCCAGAGGCTTCCAGCCTCATGGCACATTAAAGACTTTTCTGACATTTAGTAAATATAGATTCATCCAGATTTCAGTTCTTGGGAAATGAAAGTGGGGATATGGGGCAGGAAGGAGAAGGAGGTTTTTCCTTGGGTTATCACAGCACCAGGAGTCATGTTTACCATTCCTGCTAATACATGTTTTCTCATATATTTTAAGTTAACAGCTAAATGTTTTATCATTAATTTAAATAACTACAAAAGATGAATTTTCTGTTGTTTTGCATATCATATGCATGTTCATTTTTGCCAACACTTGAGAGCTACATATATAGATTATTTAATGAACAGAGAAGTCCAATTTATGAAGTAATTTGCAAACCAGTCCTCAAAGACAAATTAATCAAATCAGACTTGTTTTCTGTCCAAAAGTGGGTAGAAAATAAGCCTGAAAATATGTGTACCATGGGCATGGTGATACCCACCTGTAAACCCAGTGGCTCAGGAGGCTGAGCAGGAGGATCACAAGTTCAAAGCAAGCCTCATCAACTTAGCAAAGCCCTAAGCATCTTAGTCTCAAAATTTTTAAAAAAGTTTTTTTAATTATTTATAAAATAAAAATAAATAAAAGGGCTGGATTTGTGGCTCAGTGGTTAAGCACACCTGGATTCAATCCCTGGTACCCAAAAGAGAAAGAAAATGGATAGAAAGGCCACAGGTCACAGATAGAGGAGCAGACAGGGAGGTAGACTGAGTTGTGCCAGGAGCCTTGCCAAGACAAAATACTATTTCAATATTTTTACCAATGCTTTTTATCTTGCTTTTTGGGGTCTCTCCTTCAGAAGTAATGCTTTCCTGACGCATTATTTTACTTAATGCATTAGAGATCATACCCAAGGACAATAAATCATCATAATATCTGAGACATAATATCTGACATCTTTCATGAAAAGGGAGAAAGATGATCTTGATAGAAGACATAGGAAGGAAGAAGCAGCAGACCACAGGCTCTTAGATACATCAGTTTTAGGAAACACACATACAGAAGTTGAGAATCAGAAAATAGATTCCCTCAAAACTATCCATGCCCTAGGGCTCCTGGAGAGCCTTGTGGGTACCTAGGGCACACATTCTCTAGTCTGAAGACTAATGCACCAGACCAATGAGTTACTCCATCTCCAGAAAAGGAAACAGCAGGGAATCTTCCCCCAAATAGATAAGAAACCAAGATGGGAGAAGCAAACAAACCTCATAGAAAAGATGTAGGATAAAAATAATTAAACCATATTGCTTAAAAATTTATAAAATAAAAGATTTCATTCCAAGATTGCTAAAGGAAATCAAGGCATTGTCACACCGAATGTGAAACCTGATTCCTACCAGTACCTATGTATGGATAAGAGTCCTGCTTTTAGGATTCGTGATTCAAAATCTCACATGGGGGGCTGGGGATGTGGCTCAAGCAGTAGCGCGCTCGCCTGGCATGCGTGCAGCCGGGGTTCAATCCTCAGCACCACATACAAACAAAGATGTTGTGTCCGCCGAAAACTAAAAAATAAATATTAAAAATTCTCTCTCTTTAAAAAAAAAGTCTCACATGGGTTAAATCCTTCACTTATAGTGGTTCTGTTTCTTATTTTAAAAAGTAAGTTTTCCTTAGATACAATACATTAGTGAATCACATGATAGTGAAAGAGATGGAGGATCTTAAATAAAAAGCAAAAGGGACGTAGCCAATTATTACCATTTGAGGTATTAACAAGTTTAACATGGCTCAGCAACTATCTTAAGTGTTATATCAATTATTTTAACACAAGCTAAAGGTGTTGAAATATAAGGACCTGTGTTTTCTGAAAGGAAATGGGTGACAATTTGAAGGGCCAGTTTTTTACATGAATAATAAATACGTACGAATTCAGAACAGATTCTGAACCAACACTAACGTGAAATGAGGTTTTCGCAATTTAAGAAAAGTTCAAGGAAACTACTATTTCCTGTTATTTCTGGAAAATCTGTAAATGCTAGTGTTTTAAAAGAGAAACATTTATGGGAGAGATATTAAGTGTGTTTTACATGCTACAAGTATCAAATTCTTGTTTATTCATTTCCCCTAAGAAACTTTGCAATTCTGTTTTAAATACATGACATTTACTCTCAAGTAAGCTTTCTTTTTATTTCCCCAAATTAGCCACCCCATGGAGAAATTAGGGCTTCTAGGATTTTCTCCACCTATATAAATAAATTTTTGGTAAAGATTTTATTTTCTTGAATAAGATCTATACTCTCCAGAATGCACTGTCTGAATTAACCATTTTGTTCAAAAAGTCTATGTGATCTCCATTTTATGGTAAACTGTTGGGATCTTTAAAGATTTTTAAATCAATGCAAAAATGGCTAACCTCATATTTATATAATTTGTTTATCTGTGTATAAGTATCCTTAATACTTCTCAGGTTACTTTCAGTACAGGTATTCTCTTTATCGAAGAAGTATAAATAGTCTACTTGGTAGTTATTATTATATCTGAAAGATGTACATGAAGACCTTTCAATATAGTCCAATAAATAAATTTAGGGACATCACTTGAAAATATTAAAAAAAATTGATCAATAAACATACATTTCTATGTTCACCAAAATCTCTTTCACAGCTCTCTTATACACAATAATTACTGAGATGAATAAGTTAATGTTGGATACTTTAAAAATCTAAATAGTGAAAAATCTGTCTATCACACTAGTAATTTACCATGAAAGTCAATATTTTGTTTTGTGGGAGGTAAACAGACATAGAAAAAGATAAAAGTAAAAAAAAAAATAGTAATGGAAAGATTCCAAGGTGAACAAGCAATAACTAGTTTGTTGCCATCTGTGACATGCCCATACCTACAGGTTGTTAATATACTTACTTGAATAACGGAGTTCCACAAACAATACATTTATATATTCCAGGATCTTTGTGATGTGTGTATTCTCCTTCAAAGGCACTGATAAATAATAAACAGATCATCAAAAAAATTAAGCAAAGCTAGCATCATTTCTTATAGAACATGTATGCTTAAAATACATTTCTCTAATAAATCTTTCAAGGGCTTTTTGTCCTAAAATGAGAACAAACCCAACATATGGAAATCTGAACAATACTAATATACTTCAAACCCATATAATAAAATGTGCATATAACTACTCCAAACTAGTGTAGGTTAAATCAAAAAATCAAGTCATCTAGTTATGTAATGCTTAGAAGATTTTTTTCCAATTAAAAAAGGCCTATAGTTTGATTCACAAAAAAAAAAAAAAAAAAAAAAACATTATTACATAAGATTTTTGCTACTCTACAGTGTCCAAGAGTATACCAGAAAATGCAGAAAGGTCTGAGACTTCAAGTGGAAGGAGCCTTATTTTTTGGTTTGAAAAGGAATATTGCAGCTTTAAGGGAATATTTTTCTAAGTTAACAATCTTAAAGGCTAGGAGGTCATTCAGCTAATACAAATCAGCTGTGCTAGCCCAACAAAAAGTCTATGTGCTCTGCAGCTTGTTTTTATTATCCTTTCACCCTCTTTATGAGGTCCAATTTTTTTTATAAACAGAATTTTTAAGAATGACCTAATCTCTGGTTGTTTGTGTGCATTAAATCATTTTGCTAGTCATGCACACAACAGGACGGGTAGAAGTCCTCCAGAGTTGAGTCCCAAGTCCACCACTAGATCATTGTACAGTGAGGGTGGACTTTGTCAGATTCAACATTTGGTAAATTCAGTAAACAGTAGATACTGTGACAGGAAGAGAGTGTTGCCTATTAACAAGGATCCCATGTGTGGTAAAGAGCTCTTTCAGTTCATGAATGAAAACAAGAAGTTACATCATTAATAAATCTGGATCACAGGTAAGTTACAGCCTTATGCCAGGCTCCATGGTATAAATTAGACAACAAAATCATTGGACCTTGGCAAGTTACTTTTGAGCTGGAATCAGCTGAGAGAGACTTTATTCACTAAAAACAGTCTTGGAAGTGAACAAACTCTTTTTTCAGGACTTAGGGCGAACTTCCAAGGACCAAAGCCATGTGAGGGCAGTTATTGAAAATTTTTGACATTCCAACCACAAATGAGCCAATAAATACTTTCTCCACATGTGCTTCAAAAAGAAATTGGAGTGGGGTAGAAAGGAACTAAATTATGCTACCTTCTTTTTGCAGCCAAAACGTCTATACTTACAATGGCCACCTTCAAAATTTCGGCATCCTGGCATGGCTCCATATCCTCATGGTTTTGCTTACTGTGATGTCTTCCCAAAAAATATACCTAAATCGCTATTACTTCCACACATTTTGTAGTAAACTAAAAACAGGCCCTTAACAAAAGCCCATGACTTTACATAAGATACAGTACTCATTAAATGGAGGAAAGAACAAATAAAACTTAGTCTTAACCTACACAATGACATTTTCAAATGCAGACTTTAGCAAATAAGTAGAGAACTCTTTAAATTAATTGGCAAGGAAGAGGATTCAAAGGAGGAGATGAAGAAAACTAGCTCTTGCTTAATGACTTTTTATTACAGCTCACCTTACCTTTCAGTCCCTTTCTCCTGAGTGACATGGTACTGCAGGGGTGTTAGCCGCTTCCTCAGCTCCTGCTGGGAAAAGACCACCTTACAGTTCTTTTTATCCCTACATGACCCTGGAAAGAGAGAGGATATGGGAGAAGGAGGTTTTTAGCTTGAATCCTAAATAATTGCTTTGGCTGGACGCCATAGCACAGCTTCTACAGTCACTTGTCAATGACCAGACCAGTCCCTGGTGCACTAGAAAATCTTACCTGAACTGCAGCTGATTATTTCTCTAAGTTTAAAAAGAATGTTTCTTAAGATCCAAGTGATTCCACTGGAGTAGTGACAATGTGCTACAGCAAAAGCTTCTAGCATGTGATACTAAAACTTATTGAACATTCACAAGATGGTGCTACATCCTTTGTTTCCCAGTACCCTGAAACTCCTTTTTAAAAAAGGATTTCAGCTGGGCTAGGGATGTAACTCAGTGGTAGCATATGGGAGGCCCTGAATTTAATCTTCAGCACTATAAAAAGAAAAAAAAAAGTCAAGACACAGTCTATTTACAATTATTCACACTGTATGTTTAAGATGATGGGCATATTAAGTTAACCATAACCCTCCATTAAATAATTCTGCAGCTTGATAGAATAGCTTAAAACCATCCTCAATTCCAATTCTGTATGATTTAACTACCATCCTTCTTATTTTTCTGTGAACCCTGAAGATTTATTTTTATACAACCAGGAATTGTTTTTCTCTATGATTCCATCAGATTCTTCTCTAGGTTCTGTAGAGTCCTTAGAAATAAACATTTCTTTAAAGACATTTAAACAGGCAACAAGAAACTTTCAACAGACAACAGAAGGCGTTTATACTAATGCAGATTCAATAAGTTCCAAAGAAAGAGTGAGAAAAACAGAGAAGGAGAAAGACAAAGGTAAAGTGAATGCGATTTTTGCAAAGTATCTCTAGGAAGACTTCACTATATGTATTTGATAGTGAAATACTTTTATTAATGTGACCCTATTAACAATAGCAGCTTTTATTTCACTCTGTATAGACTGCAGTAAAATGTTCAGAAAACACCTGTTTACATGTAGTATTTTATTTTACCTGCACAAGTGACTGAAAAGAAATACAGCTCCAGGACAGAGCAGCCATTACTCACTGCAAGAAAGCTGTTTTTCTTTGCCTTCCGTCACAGTGGGAAAGAAGCTGCCAATTGTCCTAAAGGAAAAGATGTCATAGAATGTTTTGAAGGTTCTAAAAGAAAGTTTGCTTTGTTTCCTCAATGTTAAATTCAATTTCTTTTGAAATATAAAGAAATATGAGTTAGTAGTGGAAATGCTTTCTACTTCTTTTACTCTCAAGGTCCGTAATGTCATAGAATGTGAGAGCATTGAAGTTAAACTTGAAAAAATTAACTAACCAGTTACCCTGATTGTGGGATTGAAGAAGGGTATCAGCTTCCAGAATCAAGGCCACCAAGACACAGTGGCTAATTCTCTATCAAAAAATGCAGAGGCAGGAAAAGAGCAAATAGCTGAATAGAAAGGTAAGCGTGAGTGTAGGCCTTCAGCTATCAACAGCTCTTCTGCTGACCTTCCATGAAGTACCCTGGCCCTTCCCAGCCTGGAAAGAGCCACAGAACAGCTGGCACATCACAAATGGCAGCTGGGTGTCTCATCTCACTGGGCCTCATTTTACACTAGGCTTTGTCCAAAACCCTACTACTTGAATTTTTACTATTGTCTAAGGGGTAAACAGAAATGTCTGTTCTGTCAGAACAAGCCTCTCAATGGCCTGAATGCAGAACAGCTCTTTCTTAAATAATCAGTTGACCATGGATAGCTGGGTTTCCCCTCAATCACCATAGATCTCTTAAAAGTTACTTTGTTTGTTTGTTGGAAAGGTTGTATCTTTGTTAATTCTGTCAAAAAAAAAAAAAACATTAATTACAAACTTAACATGACAAAATATCTTGGTTCGAATCATACTTTCCAATGGCATAGATAATTAAACTCCAAACCACTAGAATTAAACAATTCTGTCCAAAATATTTTTGTTAATATATGTTCATTCATACAAAAAGGCCAATTGTGTTCCCAAAGTTGAGAGAACTAAGCTACCCATCTGTATGTCATTTAGTACAAGAGAAGCAACTGCAGGTTTAAATTACATGGTATTGGATTGCAATTTCCTAACATTGGATGCTTTTCTGCTTTTTTACCTTGAGTCATTTACTAAGGAGTGTTCATAAAAAGTAGCTTAAAGCACAGATGCTTGCAAATCGTTTAGACAAAGATGTTTCTCTCTTTTTCATTCCCCCCTCTCTCAAAAATCTCACTTTTCTGAAGAAAAAGAATAAAACTGTTGGTCAGTATTGATGAACCATGTCAAGTATTTGTATAACGGGGAAAAAAAGGTGAAATTGAAAACATCTGATTGAAGTAAATAATACAAACATAAAAGCTTTACTGGTGAATGAAGGGTATTGAAGAGACTTTATTTCATAGATTAGAAATTACTTTTGATCTAAACATTCTTAAAAACAGATTGTTTTCTACTATGAACCATCTCATTAACTGTGCTACAGAGACCTCGTTTGAATGGCAAGCTTTGAAAGAGTGCTGCTGTACTCCTTTGTTAGTCTCCGTCTTATTTAGGAGGGGAATAAAGATTTCATTCCAGCTTTCTTTGTTTGTCTTTCAAGAACCACTAAAGCAGTATTCACACAAATTTTGTAGGAATGTGCCCTATGTCATAGCCTACAAATTATTTGGTTTTGGTGCACTTAAAGGTCATCTTCCAAATTAGCAAAATTTTCCTACATCCTGGCTTTTCAACCTTAAATATAAATATTGTTTCCTAACTGTAAGTGAGGTTTGTTCTCTAAGAAATGCTAGTGATTATTTAAAATTGTCAAACTTTATACCTTTTCTACTCTTTGGTCATACTATGTTCTCAAAATAATTAGACTTTTAAAGAATACCTAATAGTGAAAGGAAGTATATATACTTCAGAAATAATTATTATGATTTTACATTAAACAACTCATTGAGAAGTTTATCATATTTTATAAATGTCTTGCCATGTAGTTTAATAATAATAATATAACACTTGAACAACTGAAAGCTACACTATTTCATTAGCTCTTCTAGCATAACCCAAAACCCAAAATTGGCATACATAAACACAGAAAAACTTCCCTTTTGTCTCTCTCTGATTTTCCTTCCCCCATCAGACTCACGTTCCTGAAGTCATATGGTGCCACTGTTAATTTTAAAGATATCATTTCATTTTGAAATTCTAGAGTAATTCATTGGATGGTTTCCCTTTACTATCTTCACTTAGGTACTGTAATTTTCTTATTACACAGGGTAATTTAACATTAGTATTATACGACATCTGTTCAATGACCTCTAAATTGGCTTAGAAGTATGTTAGGGAAAGACGTTTCCCTTTATTTAAATGTTTAATAGTATATTTTGAAGGCACAAGTGAGTGAGTGCGCATACATAGCAACACAGGAATATTTGAGGAGTTAATATTGTCCCTTCGGTATCTAATAATAACCCTTTCCTTACAGAGTAAACTTGGCATAGAGCAAATCTATCTGGAACCCAAACCAGAGGTATTTATTCACTGAAATATGCCCAAAGTCTCTTTTACTTTGTTCAACGTTGTTGCCTTAAAGCAAAACTGTTTTTCTTTTCAATGTTAAGCTCCTGCTATAAGTAGAAATAAACTTAAAGCAGTAGTTCACTTCTGCTTCTGCTGCTTCTGAACAATGAGACCTTAGACCAGTCAACTGCTCTGACTACATGCTATCACCCTCATACCTGTTCTAAGGACCACAGCAAACCGTATACACAAAACTCAGTCTGACTAAATGCAATATCACATTATCATTCTGAATGCAGAAAATTCTGAAGTTAAAATTGAATTTTACAAGGTAGCTAAGTGAGGTATTTCCATGTGTTTCAATATTTTATGAGTAATTAATTTTTATGTAATTACAACAGACGGGTATTTTCCCCAGAAGGTATCCTCAAGAAAATGCTAAAAATAGGAAGTGAAGGAAGAAAGTAAAATTAAAACTTGAGTTCTACTATGTGTCAAACACATTTCCAAGCACATAGAAGATAGCTGCCATGCCCATTTTACAGATACAGAAACTGATACTCATAAAGTATAGATCTTAACTTACTAAGCAGACAACTCAACTGAAGCTCAGAGCTGTTGGACTGCAAAGCCCAAAGTCATTGTGTTTTCTGTCAGGAAAAATTAAGTAACAACATTCTTTTTTCTCAAGTTATACAATAACTTTCAGTTTAAAAAAAAAACTATCACTAACAACTGAAGATAATGAGGGGTTAGGGAAGTAAGAATCACTGCATCACATCCAGAAGAGTAAATATATTTGTCATTAGCCAATGTCTGCTCTCCCTATATTCACTCTTTAACACAGGGTCAGTGACAAGGTTCATAGAGGATTCTCACAGAGTCTATAAAATGTTAAAAGGCTTTTCAACTTCCTGTTAAGAAGTAAATCAGAACTGCTACCTAAAAATGCTTAGAGCACTTTTAAGTCATAAATTTTATATTTCAGTGTGAAAAGAAAACAAAACTTAAAGATCCTATAATTTTAAGTTTGGTACAAGGATCAGAAGAATCAAATTATTAAATATTTTTCCAAAATAATGAGTAAGAACAAAAATATCTTGTTTTTCTTTGAATTTACTAGGTTAAAACAGTAAAGTTCAAGTTTAAATAGTTTACTATTAGTTGAAATACAGCTTACTGCTGTATTTAAAGGTAGTATAAAATTATACTTTACTTTTCACTATAAATTTTAATTTTTAATTAGTTATTAGTCTGTCATATTGAAAACTGAACAAACTTGATAGTATTAGACTTGATAGTATTAGAATTGCTAAAAAGGTAGGAATTTATAAAATACAAATCTAATCCACTTTCAAAATTAAACAAAATATATACCACGAACTATTATTCTGTGTGTCTGTGTGTGTGTGTGTGTGTGCACATGCGTGCGCACATTTGCATTCTAGTAATTCAATAGAGGCCTTAAGAAAACTACTGCAAACCTTAGGGGGAATAAAGGTTC